TCGACCCTTCGACCAGTGTATTTCTTTTTTGTGTGAGGGAATACAATTTAGGCGTTTTGCTCTCCAGCCGTATTCAGTATTTCCGCGTTTTTTTAAAAATGTTGTATTGGCCTGTTTCTGCAATCTTTACTATAGCTAACCAATTACAGGAATACGTTGATATCAAATGTTGCGAGAAACTAAACAACTCTGTTACCGAAGACCTAAAATATTTCGACACGCAGCTAGTCAATATTCTTACTGTTGAAAAGAGCTTTTCGAGTGACACGTGTATTTATTGTCGGTTTAAGATCATGGGCATCGAGGGCTACCATTCATCAAAAAAAAAAAAATAAAAAAATAAAAAATGGCAGGAAAGATGAAAAAACAGCAACAAAATAAACACAAACTAAAAACAGTGCGAGCAGCCATATCGGCGTTCGCTATTTAATTAATCAGTTCTATGATTGGAACCAATTATGCTGTGTGTCAAGAGATCCTTGTCCAGAAACGTTCCGATGCCCCTTCGTTTGGATTGTGTCTAATTAGTCTTCTAAATAGAACAAGTGCAATTGCTACTGTGCATTTGCGATAGTCTCTACAAAATTAGTGCAGTTAAGAAATTATCAAAACAAAGGTCAAAGACCTGCTTCTATGTGACGTGCCCTGTCATGACGTTGACCATCAGAGCTCTCTATAATTTTGTAGCTCGTAATAAATTTTGTCTTATAGTTATTTTTCTTGAAGCTTGCTCCTCCATCCATTTACAAAAGCTCGCCAGGTACGCCATGTGTTGTGTCTATATGTCACTCGTATCTTCAATCTTTCTTGTGCGCACAAAATCTTCAAAGCTCTCTTATGTGTCCTTGAAATTTCTTTCTGATATCACTTTTGGAGACATTGATCTCAATTGTCTCGTTCTAATATGCGTCCTTTGTCTTTCGATTTTTCTCTAAAATTTCGACGTTGCTCAAACGATCGGTCCATGGTATTCTCAGCATCTTTCTGTAGAACGACATTTCTGTTGCTTCAAGTCTTCATTCGCTGCCATATACAGTAACTGCTATTACATAATATTTCAATACTCTTTTCTTTGTTTATAACGATTTTTTTCCGTTTCTTAGAAATTTGCTTAGCTTTTGAATCTTTTGGCTTTAAAAACATTGTCAAAGAATAATTCTCGTAATTATTTGAATCAGTATTCTGATCTTCAATCTTGTTCTTGTTCTATTTACCTTGGTTCCTTCAAGACATGGGGAATCATTGCTCTCCAAAACCTGTTTGTAGCTCTCAGCAACTTTTGTCTTTATGGTGAACTTACTACTTCATGTTTTGGTATGAATCTGTATAAAACAAAACTAGTTTCCTTTTACTACTATAGAGAACCTGTTCTGTCTATCATCTGCATGGCTGACGATAGAGTTCAGGAGAGTCTTTTGTCTTCTTGGAATTCATCGAATCAATAGCCGCATCTACTGCAAGGAAAGTTGGGTCACAGTGTCATGCCAGAAAAAATATTGTTGTCAAAATCCATCTTGCACATTTACAAATCTAATATAGGTCCGTGCATTGAACAGTTTTACCATATCTGGTCTGGTGCTCGTGTTCTACATCTCGAGATTGTTGACAAAATCCAAAGAAATATCTGCAATGTAATCGATCCTAATCAGGCATATCGATTTCTGTTAATTCCTCACCGATGTAACGTGGTTTCCTTCTGTCTTGTCTACAAATATTTTCATGGCAAGTGCTCTGAAAAGCTTTTTTCCTTGGTGTCCCGAATATATATGTTTAAGCGTACTACTGGATTGGCATCTTGATCCCACCCTTTTTACTGTTGAAATAGCTAAATGTAACTGGCACTTCTACTCCAACCTTTTCTTTTCTCGCACTTTCCACCTGTGAAACTCCCTTCCATCACTTGATTCCCTGATACTTACAATCTTCAAAAATTTAAATGAAACATTAATCGCCATATACTGTCGTCTTGAACGCCGTTCATTTTTTATCCTTTCTTCCTCCTCCTATTTTCAGTCTTCCCTTTGACTTTCACTCCCTGTAACCCCCAGTGCACTAGTGGCATTCCCGCCTTGCATGGGGTGAAACGATTAAAAATACAAGCCCATAATGTAGATTGCTCGCTGTTTCCCTCTTCGAATCTTGCCTTCAGTATGTTCTGTGAGTGTCAAATTCTCCAAGCGATCTTTCCTCATTATGTTGCTCATATCTTCAGTCCATAGTATTCTTTGCATCCTTCTGTAAACACACATTTTCGTTGTGCCAAGTCTCTTCTTTATCCATGAAGAGGTCGTCTAGAATTCATTGCTGTATAGGACGCCATTTTGTACTTCTTATGTTGGGCTGTTCCTTTTTTTGATAATCATAGACTCTGACAATTGAAAATTGATGTTTAAATTCTGTTGGTGATTCCGAAGGTTACGTTCTGTCTCTGCTATCAAAACACATCTGCATGTCATCTCATTTTGTTAAGATTGTTCTCGCCAGTTATAAATCCTGGTAGAAATTTTAATTATATCAGGATCGTCTCAGTGTAATTGTTGTATAAGCCCGGTGAGAAGACACATATACTTGTTTTACGCCCGTCTCTATTTTTGTTTATTTACTGAATTTTGTTGCTTTTTTTTTCTGACAACCATTTATTCTGTCTTCTGAGAATTGATGTTTCGCCTTTTCTTCTTGTCTTACTTTGCTAAATCTGAACGAGTTTCCTTGGGTTAATTTCTGCGTATGCTTTACAAAATTGTCATCTGCATGCTTTATGTTGTTAAGACTGTCTGCTAGTTATAAATCCTGACAGAACTTTTAATCCGTTCAGGATCGCCTGACTGTACACATTAAATAATTCCGGCGAGAACACATATACTATGTTACGTCCCTTTTTTTATTTTTGTCTATTTATTGAATTCGTGTTCTATCCGTATGCATGACATTTAGAAATTCTGTTTTATTCTAATATCTTTCCCAAATAAATCAAGCTGTCGACTAGACATCTGTCTAGTTGTCAATTGGGGCAATTTCTTGAGTTAGTAACGAATGTGCCCTAAGCATACATTGTTATACATTCCTCTTCAACATATTGCCCATATACTTAATTGGCACTTATGTCTATCGCTGTATATTTACTGTTTCTCATTGACGATATATCGCTTGCTACTTAAACTGAAGGAGATAAGAACGGAACTTGAGCACGCATTGTATATCACAGCTATATATACGAGGTTTGATCAAAAAATATCGGGAAAATGATATAAGAAGGAAACAACACATGTCATTTTGGTATGTAATCTCGTCCCATTCTGAAACCACATACTTTATCGAGTGTCGTTTCCAGTGGTGGAAGTATTCCTTTTTGGTGGGGACAGCAAGCAGCTGCTTCGTTGCTTTCTCTTGGATTTCCTGGACGTTTTGGGATCATCCTCCTTCAAGTAAAATTTGAATTTTGGAAAGAGGAAAAACAAGGATTGGTCCTGCCATTAAAAAAAAAAAAAGTGAAAAATGCAATGGTTGCCGAAATCTAGGATTACAGTTATATACTCCAAAATATCATATTAGATGATGACATAAGCCGCTTATCCCTCTTTCACTAATAGCTTACATAGAACATCGAGTCCTGTTACTTTTCAGACAGACCTCGTATGAAACATTTCATGTATTTGTGTAATAAATTCTAGCTTTGGTATCACTTTTTATACAAACAGCTAAAGTAAAAAAAAAAATAATAAAACACTGTGCCATCTATAAATTAGAAGCCAATATCAGGCATTCATAACATTTGAGGACAGAGGAGGAATGACTTCAAGACTTTCTTTCGAGATAAGCGATAGACGCGTTAAGAGGATATAATTTGAATAATCGGTATTGAAAATATTCGTTACTGACTGTTGATTTCAGCCAAATATAAACATCAAAATCCCACAAAGAAAGAGACATTATCACCTTTTTGGATATTCCGTGACTGTGTCGTCTGCGTAGTCGATTCTATTTGCAAACATCTTCATATTTTCTAACGTGTAGACGGTACATTGACTAGACAGAATAAAACATGAAAGCAAAGAGATAGATAATCAATTTATAATTGTATATATCTACATAATTTATGTCCGTTCAAATGAACCGAAAGAAGTAAAGCGAACAATGATTTCTGCAATTGGTATCTGTTTTCCGATGCATTTAGATTTTTTTCCTGGTCAAGCCTCGCTCTCTATCAGCATTCATGAAGCAAATAATTTCACATCTTTACCATTTTTATGGCATATTCAATCTATAATTACTTTCAAAACTGGCGTTGAGATCTCATCAATTTACAGTTGAGCTGGCTAGATGTAACCACAAATTCTATGCTAACGGTTTTTTGTTCTCGCAGTTCTCGCTTGTGCAACTTCATTCGGGCTTCATGCTTTTCAAACCAACCTACTATGCAAAAATTCCATGTCAATCGCTATCTACTCTCCTCATGATTACTCTTTTCTCTCCACGCTCATTTTTGAAGTTTCTGTTTCTAATTCTTCCACACTTAGTAACCCCTTGTGTCTTAGTGGTTTTAATCCTTTGATTGGGGTTAAACCGATTAAAAAATCAACAAAATTTTTGCATTCACATAAAGACGTATTCTAGTTTACGGGTTATCAATTTTCTTTTATAGGGAAGTCTATTTAAGGAATCATCTCATGGAGGAGGAACAACCTGGAAGCGATTTGTTTTAACTTCGGAGTTCTAATATAAGTGATAAAAATGATTGATTTGTTTTTTACGGTTTAGTAACCCTTTTCAGGTTGTTTAAAGCCAGAAAACATTTTTGGATTGTAAGGATTTATGTATGTAGAGATATTTATGGTTTACTGATGCAAGTCTTACTAATTAACCCATAGCTAGGAGATGCGGATTCATACTTTTCCCAAAGGTATTTACGCGTAAGTGAATATAACGAACCCAATTAAATCTTGGCTCTCCGATAAACAATTCCGAGCCATTAACTTTTAAACCACTCGCACATCCAATGAGACAACACCTGGTATTCCCAATCGGTCACCCATTTAGGTAGCGACCAGGCACAACTTTGCTTAACATCAGTGATCATACGAAAACCGGTGTTTCAACGTGATATGGTCGTAAGCTCAACTGATAGTGTTTGCTGGGATACTAATTTGTTTTTTTTTTTTAATAAGTGTCAATGATTGTTGTTCGCCCCCCCCCCAAAAAAAATCAGAATTTCGAATATTGATTTTTAGGGTAAGTAGGCTCTAGAAAATAGCACAAAAATATTGTCTTATTTTGCAAAATTAGACATGTAGTATAGTAAGTGAAGCTTAGTAGTATTTAAAAAAATGTAATGTCATTTGAGATCATAGATCCTTAGTTATAATTTTTTTGTTACCTGTGATGTATCATGATTTCATCAGATAGTGAAGTGGTTGCCTGTTGACTTCCCTACGGTTTTGAATTCATAACATTCATTCTCGTAGACTTTCTGCCATCCAATAATAAAGAGCTGAGTCGGCTATGCTACTTAACACATAGGTACCAGTGTGTAACGTGTGGATTTCCAAGGTCTTTTTTGCTAAGTTGAACGTTACAAGCACGCCCAGAATTTAAACTCGATTCACCGATTTCCTCCCCGCACGATCAAGCATAGTACGGAGATAACTGTTGTTAAAGCTATAAAAAATAAATATAAAAAGCGTTAAGAATTCAGAAGTATAATAGGAAATTCACTGCGAAGTCGCTGTTAACAGAAATCTCGTTCCGAACGGTATTACTTATTTAACATTTAGCACATTACATCATCTTTAAATAAATCTTCCGCTTTGTATTGAATCTTCTGTATATTGAATCCCCTCAAAATATAGTGTCATATATATTAGTTCCATATATTTGGAATTGTAGTATCCTGGCTCTCAATTTCAGTTAAGATTATATCAGGTGTTACCATAGAAGGATTTGACTACACAACCAAGAAATTCAAATTAAACTTGCATTGGCAGGATGAACGTTTTGCTTTGCAAAAATAGTCACCTACAGAGTGCTAAAGGTTTTAATAAGTCTGAGTTTCGTTGCTTTCTTCATAATTTTGGCCTTGTGCCTGATTGATCTAATCTTTGCGAATATAAAGATGACAAGCAATCTTTTTTTTTTTCGATGCAATCTTGTTAACCATAACTCAACTGAACAGGTGGAAAAATTACAAAAATAATCAAACAAAACAAAACAAAAAACAAAACTACAATATATGACTGTCTTCAGGGACGAGGTTACATTCGAGCTCTAAGTGTACTTAATTTGTAAATTCCTTGTCGTGGATTTGTTTTTGCCAAACATGGTTCATGATCATGTAGGCGTTGTTGACTTGTAATAAGTGGCTTTCAGGGCGCAAAATGGACGAAAATAACGCTCAGATATTTCCGGACTAATCAATCTGGTTTCAAGTTATCGATGCTTATCTTCCGGTCATTTTCAATTGAGCCCATCTGTCCGCAGATCTATTACCAATATACTGCAACTTCATTAACTCTCTAATTGTTTGTCCAAACATACGGTTGAAAATTGACTGACACGAGCAAATATTTATATGGAGATAAGAATCAAATGTGTATGGTGTCTGTCAGTTTCACAGGCGCAAGCGGATCTTATAATATAACAGTCATCATGCAGTGTTGGTTTTCATGTCCATATTGTCACTATTTACCAATGTTCGATATCATATCTGATAATGAAAAATCCCCATGAATAATTTTCAAATACATGTGTATGTCTGTATATATATATATATATATATATATATATATATATATATATATATGTTACATTAAAAACGACAGCGTACTACGTTTAAGCTTTTTATTTAATTTTTCTTGTGTTTGCACAAGAGCATTCTGTTTTGGATACAGTGTGTTTCACATTCAAAGGAATTGATTTTTTCTTATGTTGAGTCTTTTAACTATTGTCTTTTGGGTATAGTAGTAATCCAAACTCAAGACTGACGGAAGACTGTTCCCATGCTTACGGGGTAAAAAAACAATTAGGATTGGTCAGAGAAATGGGAAAAGATGAGGTTTTTGTTCTTATCTTTTTATGTCGTCGTGTATCGTCAGATCTTCTTCCATTCTTGTGTATTGTGTGTGTCTTTGATAGTATATATATATATATATATATATATATATATATATATATATATATATATATATATATATATATATATATATTCTCCATACATATATATGTTATTATAAAGAAATATATATATATATATATACACACTTTGCATGGTGTGTAGTGTTCGTGTATTTGTGTGTTTTTGCCTGAATGTCTTCATATCTTCGTTTTCCACATACACAAAGACACACACACACATATATTATTATTATTATTATAAAGATATCTATACAGTAACAATTTTGTATGGTGTATTCGTATGTGTGTGTTTGTGTGTGGTCTAACTAGCGTATTTTACCACTATGTGTATATGTGTGTGTTTATGAGTATGTGGTTATGATTTGTTTAGAGCTGGTATAAATTTGTCTATGAAGTTTTTTAAAAATTCTAAAAAGTAACGATAATTTTAATTTTGTTTAAATACTTTTTGAAAAATAAAAAACCTTATATTTACTTCCATCAGTGGACGTAACATGTCAGCTAAGATAAGTTTTCCTATTGTATTTTTACAGAAATATTTTTAGTCATATCTGAATTTTTACAACACACACGCGCGTGTGTGTGTCTGTGAATCTACACTATTTACATTATTCTAACTGTTGTCCTCATCTTTGTTGCCATATTCACGACGTTTCGGCCGTTATACGCTCCGGCCTTCTTCAGCTGTTTGGGGTTTTTAACCAAACCCTTTATTTTATCCACTGTGTAGATTTTTCTAGTTTCAAGTGTCATTCATATTCACTTGAAGAAAACCAGAGTGGATCACAGCTGAGACGTTGTAAATATGGCAACAAAGATGAGGACAGCCATCCGAACAACGTAAACAGTGTAAATAAATTTAACGCGTAACTTCTAAGAAGGAGTAAATTCGTTTTATATATATCAAATCCAGCTGCGACAAAATCCAGCTGCGACAAATATTAATAATACTAATAAGAAATTTATTTTCAGTTATTGAATGACCTTCAAATATGAATCTAAAATAAATCTTTCAGGAAACAACTGAAGTCATCACAAATATTTGCAAAATGAAATTAATTTTCTTTAATGAATGATTGGCAGTGGAAATATATTGACAGAACCACTCATTTTTAAGTGCTTAATATCAAGAAGACATAGTTGAAATTTAGAGGGCACATAATGAGGAAAGAGGACTTGGAAAATCTAATAATCACAAGGCAGATTGAAATCAAGAGGGGCAGAAGAAAACTAAGCATAACATACTTGATATTGTTTAAATGGATGGCGGAAAAATGTTTAGGTGAAATAAAGAAAGGAATGTTTATTAAGAGCTACGAATGAGAGGATATTGTGGAGAGCCATGATCACGTACGTTCTGAAGAGACACGGCAGATAAAGATGAGAAGATATATCGGAATGATAGGAAAAAAGTAAAACGTAATAATATATGTATTTGTTTTCACTGCAGTACCGATTTATAAGGATTTACTTTATTATCCACAAAAAGCCATTACTAATTTGGAATGATAGTGGATTTGCATTCTACAATATTTGGAATTCAGAGCTTCTTTGGCTAAGGCTGATTGTCACCCAAGGCTAGAGAGCCTAGTCTACTGTGCTCTCTATCGAGTAGTTGCGGTGACGTGACTAATCCATTCCTTTCAAAAGGGTGTTAGGGAGAAAGTCATCGCATAAATGAGCCCGATTATCACATTCCTTAATGGTTTCGTTTTTACATGTAAACTACAGCGACTGTCATCTGACAGCTTAATTGATGTCAGCGAAATTTGGAGAAACGCAGAGAGCGAAAAAAAGAGAAAGCAAATAAAAAAAATGTATAAAAGCTGCCTTTTGTCTTCAAAGTCACGCACACAAGTGTGTATGACACGGAAGCTAGGGCCACCAAATTTACATTTTACAGTGTTCGATATGCTCTTAGGCAGAAACTTGCGCATGCGCATATTTCAGCATATCTCCGTAGAGACGCTAAATTGAATCAGGAATCTCTGCACACGTGTTTATTGAACGTATGCACTGTACTAGGCTTTACGAATTCTGAAACCTTAACAAAAATATTACAGTTACAAACATTTTTGGTTTATTTTTAACCTTTAATTTTATATGGCATAAACCCAAAGAAACTACACAAACATATATACAGCATACAGAATGTCACACATATATTTGTAAAATGATTACAATTAGAGCTTAATTTATACAACACCGCCTGATGATTCAAAACCAAAATTTAATCTAAGAATCACATTCTTAAATAAGTCTTTTGGTCTATACATTTATATGTGATCTAGCTCGTTTAGAATTGTCTAAATAATCTTCTATGAGCCTTAAAGTGGGGCATTTTTCGTCGAATCCTTCATACGCCACGCTAATCCTAAATAAAGAATTCTACCAAATCAAATAGACCAGGTCGCTTGAAGAAATTCAACAGCTGCAACAACTAAAATGGATAGCATGTGTAACTCAAAGAGAAAATAATGACATAATCAAGATGTTGAATTTCAAACAAGCGGTTAGAAATAAAGCCGCTATCACTACTAGAAAGATCAATAACAGTAGAGGTTACCGTTCAGTCAATGAATGTCCAATGTTTCTATGTAAAGAAACAGATAATCTCACCATTACTAAGTCGGTCTCTTAAGTTAGAGTACATTGAGTTTTTAATGAACGCCTCAATATTGTATCACTGGGCTACAATAAATAATTGCATTAGCTTATTTCAATGAACTATTGATAGAAAATTAGTTATGTCGTTTAAGCGATAGATCATAGAGCACAGTAGACTATGCTCTCTAGCCTTGGGTGACAATCAGTCTATGGCAAGGAAGCTCTGAATTCCAAATAATGGAGAATGCAAATCCACTATCATTTCAAACTAGTAATGACATTTCGTGGATAATAAAGTAAATGTTTATAAATCGGCACTGCAGTGAAAACAAATACTTTAGAAATAAGTTTTACTTTTTTCTTATCATTCCGATATA